GCGCGCGCATGGCCCCGCCGCACCCTGAACCTTCACCTGCCCCCGAGCCTGTGCGCCCTCCCGCCTCGCAATCGGTAGAGGTTGTTTCCCAGGTTCCCACGTTGGCTCCTAAGCCCCGTCGGCCAGCCCAACAGGCAAGCCCGACAGGCCAGGCCAGCACAGGACAGACGCAGCAGACCTCTGAGTATGCACTCAGGGCTTCGGATTGGCAGGGAACCATTCTCACCTACGATACGCTCGAGCAGGACCTCCATTCCAGGGGCTCGGGGTCCATCGTTGTACTAGTTGGCGGCCCTCAAGAGGCTGACGTTGCTGCCCAGCTTATTGCGGGCGTGGGGCGACATGCTGCTTGGATTCTTTATCGGGATAAGACGGCGCCGCTCATGGTGCCCCTCGTTGCTGGAAGCAGAGTGCTGCCACAGCATGTTGCATGTCAGACGGTGCCTTGTAATGGCGTAGCTTTTCCATCGCTTAAGTCTGCGCCGAGACCCAGGCAGGCACCCGCAAGTACGACATGTCCCATGCGGGTCATTGTCAGCGGCTCTCTTGCTCAGGAGAGTTTGTGGCGACTTGCCGCCACGCAGCCGAGGAAATTCCTTCAGGAGTGGGCCAGGCAGGCGCTCCCCGGACAGTTCCGGGGAGTGGTAAAGGACTCATGGGGATTTGCTGAGGGCCAGAGGACAGGGGATAAGGTTGTCACGGGACTCATCAGGATTGATACTGACGTGATTGTGCCACTCCTGGCCTCTTCGGGCAAAATTGGCGTATTCTTGGAGCCGGTCGCACGCCATCCGGCGTACCCGGCAGCGGTTATTGATTGGCATAGGCCGGGCCAGGGAGAATCATGGATGCAACTTTGCCAGAGATTGCAGGGGCAACGCCCGGCATACGGCCTTGTTCTCGGGGCCAAACAGATAGGATTGAGAAGGGCTCCCGGCGCTGACCATCAACCCAAGACTTTGTGGCAAATAGTCGGGACGCCGGTGCATTGGTCCGACTCCTTTCTTCATGATCTCATTCTGTCCCAAACTCCAGCGGTTTCGGCAGAGATTTTGAGACGCCAGGTCCGAGGCAAGCGGTGTACATGGTGGGTTAGGGCGACCGTTTCGGGATCCGAGGATGACCACTGCTTGGCAGCCACCGAGGGAGGCGTCGAACTTAATGTTTGGATGTTGCCCAGCACCTCTCGCCCCCCTCCCCGTAGGCCAGGAAAACCCATACCACAGCAGGGCGCCTTCACCTTGTACCGCTCGCCTTTTGATAGGGTTGACAAGCCGGGGGCCATCACCGTCGATGGCGATCCTGATGAGGAGAATCTTGATGGCAATGATGGTGATGCTGCGAAGCCGCTGCCTGCTGCCAAACGCGTGGCAGCGAATTTCACCGCCAGGTTAGTGCCTGAAGGCGCCGAGGTTTACCAGGTGCCGGGGGATGGCGCATGTTTCTTTCATGCGGTGTCTAAGGCTTTGACTGTGCTTTACAATCGAGAGACGTCGGCTGCGCAGGCTCGTGCTGAGACGGTGGCCCACCTTAGGCGGTATCAGGAGGCTTATGTGCCCTTCTGGGATCATGTGGACGACCGCCAGCAGGGTGTACAGAACTTCGTGGATTATTTGGTGCGTATGGCGTGTGCTGATGCCTGGGCGGGGCCATTGGAGTTACAAGCATGTTCCAAAACCCTCAAGGTTTGTTTGCTCGTACTGCCGGAGGATGCTTCAAGGGTCCCGTGTTGCTTTGGTAACCCGTCGCACCCCCCGGTTGCCCTCTTCCACACTCGGAATCATTATGACCTGCTGCTTCCCTCTGAGGGCACGGTGTATCCAGGTGTCATTCTTGGCATTGCGAAGGAGGCGCCCGACAACAGCATCCCGAGAGCTGGTTCGTCGATTGCTTCCTCGGCCCCGACGGGTTATGGTGACTGTGCTGTGCGGCCCCCGCTGCGGGGTCCTCCTTCGATTGCTTCGTCGGCGCCCACTGCGCTCCGAGGTGCCGCTGCTGCTGCTAGCATTCGTGATTACTTTCAGCCGAGGTTGGATGCGCAAACACTCGAGGCCGCACCTACGCCTGTGGTCGTCGATGCAGCGCCTCATGTTGCCGCGCCGGCCACGCCGGACCAGCTTGAGGATGAACCTGATGTCCCGCCCCCGCCCGCCCCGCCCAGGATTGGTACCAGGGGTAGATTGCTCAAGCCCCAACGTCCCCGCAAGAGGGAGTGGAAATGCCAATGGTGTGATTTTGTGTCTAGTGCTAAATCGGGGGCGACTGCATTGCGGTTGCACGTTGGCAAATGGCACCCTGAGCATCTTAGTGCTGCCCCCAGCCTCCCCAATTTCAGAGTCCCAGGACAGGGTGATGTCGTGGCTTGGCCGTGCCCATGCTGTGATCAGGCCCTGTTACAGGTTTCGCCCGAGCCGTCCAAGGACTCTTTGCTTCAGGCGCGACTCAAACATTGGAGGGAGAAGCACCCGAGGGCTGATAAGTCCTTGTTCCTGTTGAGGCCGGTGCGGGTCAATGCCCAGCTTGCTTCACGTGCTGTGCTGGCGGCTTCTACTGCCTGTCGCTTGCTGAGGAGCCGTACTGGTGGCTATGGGCCACATGCTGAGGTTGAGTACTTTCGCATCCCATGGATGGGGAAATCCACGAAGCATCGCAGGGCCACTCGTGTGGTTTACTACTGTCGTGACTGCCGTCAGACTGCGGATACTGCCAAGCGCATGCGGGATTTGCGGTGCACCCATGGCCATGGCTCGTCGGCTAGGGCTGGTTTCCTGCGGAGGTTACGCGAAACCATCAACCAGGACCATCCTCAGGAGCTGCTTAGTGCTGCTAAGGCTTTACTCGCCCGTCTATCCGAGACTGCCCGCCCGGGACCAGTGCGCGTGCGAGGCAAGCGCAAACCTCCCGATGGCATGCGACAACATGAGGCTCTGGTTTTGGCTTGGCCGGAGCCTCACCGTGGAGGCTACACTTATGTGCTGCGCTTCATCTGCAGGCTATGCTGTGCCCATGCTACCTCGAGGTTCAATCTGCTGAGCCGGCCGTGCGGGCCCGTTGTACGGGGTGCTGCACGTCTTCGCCGACATCTGCAAACTGCCTGCGACTCGCCCGATGTCGTTGCCAAGCGCACTGCTGAGTACGCTTTGCATGTTTTGGGTGATGCTCTCCCGGCGGCTCCTTTGGCCCCGCCGCCGCCTCCTGCTGTTACCTCGCTCGCTGACATGTGTGCGGACGGCCTTCATGATCCTGCTGTGGCACTTGGACTTGCCGATCGTACAGCAGCCTCCTCTAGTGGACTGGTTGGGACGGAGCCCGGGGCCCTTCCTTCGTCGAGGCCCACTTGCTTGCGTGGGGCGCGGGCGCCATGACGCCTCCCCCGGAACGTTTACGCCTGGGCACGCTCAATGTGGCCACCCTGGCGGGCCGCGTTGCTACTGTGCTTGCACTTGCTACTACCTTGGCGCTGGATGTGCTTGTTCTCCAGGAGACCCATGTGCCGCATCATTCACGGGGGACGGTGGAATCGGCCTTTGCTAAGGCGGGTTGGCACTGTCACTTGGGGGATCAAGCCGTTACCAATGAGGGCAGGCCCAAACATGGTACTGCCGTGGTGTCGCGGGTCCCTGTCATGCCTTTTTCCCTGCCTTCAGGCTTACTTCCAGTGGGCCGCGGCAGCGCTGTTCGGATTCATCGCGCTGTGGGGCGACCGGTGTTATGCATCAATGTGTATCTCCCCGCTAGCTCCGCTACTGAGGCTTCTTCCCTCCTTAGCGACGTGTTTGAGTTTTTGGCCTCGACGGGTGAAGAATGCATTGTCGCTGGTGATTTTAACCTTACCCCTGGGCACTCTCCTCTCTCTACTGTGCGTGCTCAGGGTTTCTGGCGCCTCGCTGACGAAACTGTGCTTGGGGATCATGCCTTTCCCCCGACTAGGCGTGACTGTCATGGGCTTCCCACGGGCCGCTGCGTGGATTTTGCGCTGTCCACTAGTGGCATTCCCGCTTTGGCACGGTTCCAACACCGGGGGCCGTCTGACCATGACTTGGTTTCCTACGACTTTGAGTGGGCTCGTGATAACAGGTTGCTGCTGAGTGCCCCTCCCCGCCTGGCTTTGTGCTCCACGTTGGAGCCCGTGTCCGAGGAGGCTTGGAGCGATGCGTGGGGTCCACACGCCTCGTCTTTCACTGCTGCTCTTCATGGCAACGATGTGAACAAGGCTTGGTGTCTTTTGAGCGATGCGGCCGAGACCCTACTCGTCGATCCTTCCAGGCCTGGATGTGCTACGGCTCGGCGCTCCATGGTGGCGGAGCCCCGGCCCCCTCCACCGACTTCTACTAAGTCTTCTACTGTGCAGTCACACAAGGAGCGGCGCCTACGCCACTTGGCCAGGCGGGCTGCTGAACTTCAACGGCACCCCGAGGGACCTGATGCGGCGGTTTTGCACACCAAGCTGTCTTCTGATGCTGCTGCTTTGGGCCTTTGCTTCACGGAGGACGTGGGGCGTCTTGCTACTGAGGCGCTTGCGGCCGCTGCTGCGCTCGAGACCGCCTCGGTCCGCGAGCGCATCGCCAACTGGAAGCAAACTATTCAATCGGATCATCGTCGCATGCGTGTTTGGGTTCAGCGTACTCCTGCTCCTGCTCCGGCACCGCTTTCTCATGGGCCGGTGCACCCGGCTGACGTGGTTGAGGCAGAGTACAACAAGTGGTCGGCGCAGTGGACAGGTTCTGCTGCGCACACACCTGAGGAAACTTGGCGCTGGTGCCTGGCTTTGGGTGCGCCTTCTGAAAGCTGGATGCCTGAAGCTTTGCTCCCCAGTGCTGCTGTGCTTCTTGCTGCCGTGCGAGCCTCTGCACGTCGTGCGGCTGGAATCGACGGCTGGTCACCGGCTTACCTTGCTAAGTTGCCTCTGGGGTTTTTCGAGTCGTTGGTCGCCTTGTGGACGGCTTGCCTTCGCACTGCTGCTCTTCCGGAGGCCTGGTGCCAGGTGCGAGTTGCGCTGATACCGAAACCTGATGGTGGGCTTAGACCTTTGGCCATTGCTTCAGCTGTTTGGCGTGCTCTCGCCACGGTGGTTGTTCGTAATTTGCGTACTTGGACGCTCACCTGGGCCCCTCCCTCCCTGCTGGGCTCGTTGCCTGGTAGGTCGTGTGCTGACTTGCATGCGGCTTTTGCCTCTGACTTGCATCGCGCCAGGAGATCTCGCCAGGCCATGGCCGGCCACAAGGCCGATGTACGTCGTTGCTTTGATGCCGTGAGCGTCACTCAGGCACTCGCTGTGGCGCGGTGGTTAGGTGCCCCTCCCCCGCTCCTTAACTTGCTTGAGCACTTTTACGCCCGTCAGCGCAGGTTTATCGCCTGGCAGGGCACCTTCCACGGAACGCCAATCGAGCCAACGCTCGGCTTGCTGCAAGGATGTCCTTTCAGCCCGTTACTGCTTAACTGCATCTGCAGCCTTTGGGTTCGCATTGTGCGGGAGGCCGAGCCACGTGCCACTTTAGCAGTTTACCTGGATGATAGGACGGTTTGGCATGTTGGTAAACACGCGGTTCAGGTCGTGTGTGCGGCGGCGCGCGCGGGCCAAGCCTTTGACAGCTTCTTCGGTTTACAGCTGCACCCGGACAAGCTTGGCTCTTTCGGTGTCGGCCGTGGGGTCCGTGCAGGTCTCGCTTTGGAGGCCGAGCTGGTGGGTCTGGTGAAGACCTCCTTCGTTCTGCTTGGTGTGCACTACGCCTTTGGCTTGACGGCGCTTCCTGACACTACTACGCTCACGAGTGCAGTTTGGCGCCGATGTGAGCGTATTGCTATGGCGGTGGCTTCGGTTGCAAGGCGTCGTGCTCTGCTTGAGGAACTTGTCATCCCGCTTTTCTCTTGGTCTGGCCCTTGGACGCAGTTTCGCAAGCAGGACTTGATGTCCTGGGACCGTGCTGTGGCCTTGGCGCTGTGGGGCTACAAGCCCCCTAGATCTCGTTCGCGCTTGCTGCTCTGGCATGTTCTTGGGCGGCCTTGCCTCTGCCCGGAGCACGCTCTTGACTTCGCCACTGCTCGTCAAGAATGGTTGCGTTGCTCTACTCCCGGCGCTTTTCGACTGTTGGACATCACCACCACGCCCAGTTGGGCTGCGCTTCAGCGTAAGTGGGGATGGTCTGAGACTGTCACTGGCGAGTGGCGCACACCGCTGGGTCTGCTGCGTCCGGGTTGGGACGGCTTGGCTGTGTTGCGCCGCGTCGCGGACTACGCTTTCCTCCAAGGCCTTTGGGCTGTCGACCCCAAAGCCAGCGACAGGGACCTCTCGTTGTCTCTTCCCACCTTTGCTCCGGCAAGGCCCATGGTTACGGAGGGCACCCACAGTCACTACCGTACGGCTACGGCTTGTGCTGCTGATGCGCGCTGTCTGACTCGCCTGCAGAATCCTCCGAGTGCTCAGGAGCTCCAGTGTGTGTGCGGAGAACCGACGCCCACCCGTCATCACCTCACCTTTGCCTGCTCCAACGACCACTGGCAGCTGGAGCAGGCCACCTACTGCGAGCGCTCCCTGTTGCTTCGTCTGGTGCCGCTTCCGATGCCGGCGAGCATTCCTCGCATGCTGCCTGAGCCCCAGATAGACGAAGAGGTGGTGCACTGCCTCATTGCTGCAGCAAGGCACGGCCCTGTGCTCTGTGCCACGGATGGCGGTGCGCTCACGCGCGCTAGGATGGAGTGGTGGCAGCGCGCTGCCTGGGCAGTTGCTTTTGGCACTGAGGGCGACTACACGGTCTACGGTGACCTAGTGGCTGGACTCGACCAAACGCCCGCCGCTGCTGAGCGGGCTGGACTTTGGCACTGCGTGCGCCATCTACGGCGAGCCCAGGTGCCGGCAGTGCTCTACTTGGACAACTTTGCGCTGGTGCTTCGCCTGCGCAGAGGACTTGAACGAGATTTGTGGGCGGGCTCCAACCCTGGTTACTGGCACGCCATCTCGCAAATCGTCAGTCGGGACCTAAAGGTGTTTTGGGTGCCTTCACATGGCAAGCAGCGCGCCTGGCAGGCGGATGATTTTAGGCACACCACTGCGGTGCGTGCCCTGAATGCTCAGGCGGACACCAGGTGCAGCGCTGCCTTACTGCCGCTCCGTGCGGAGTGGGAGGCTGCGAGCAACAGACTTGATGCAGCTGAGTCTTGGACCACGCGTGTGCTGAAAAGACAGCATGCTGCCTGCGCTCGCTACCATGAACTCTTACGCAAGGGTGTCTCCGAATGGCGGTTACGACAGGGTATAGGCTAGTCCTGCCCCTTCCTGCCTGGTTTTTCCCCCTCTTTGCCTGGTTCCTTAGGTTTAGGCCCTAATCCCTGATCCTTTTCTTGCGTGCGTCCTGCCTAGGCGCTTCGAGTAAAACTTGATGTCGGCCCCGGCTGCTGGTGACGCCAGGGTTTACCATTGAATTCCACTTCCTGTTGACAGGATGCTGACTTGTTCGTCACGGACTGCCTCGATGTTTCTGCGGTGGTCTCCTGATGGGCGTCCCGCTTGGTATCCTCCTCTTCTTTATTTTCGCGGCCTACGATGTTGGGCTTGTCTTCTGGCGGGGCCTCAGCAACCTGTGAAGAGCCAATCTGTACAACACACTGCGGCCCATGGGTTCCCTGATGACCTCTTGAAGTACGGGTGCCCACAAGAACTCTCCCCTCGATTTTGTGGCGGTGATTCTCTTGTGGGATGTGATTTGCTGGGAGGCGTCTGAACCACCAACTTTTGTACGGAGCAGGTTGACGTCGAAATCATGCGAATGCGAA